GTGCTTACAGGACAGAAAGGAGCGTGCTGGCTTGCGCGCGCGCGCCGAGGGGTCGTTCCCTCGTCGTAGTCGCGTCGTCGGCCGGCCGGCCTCCTCCCTTCTCATTCCTGAGTACAATTGCTTAACGGTTACTTGTAGTTCCATCGATGTCTCATGCCGTATCCTCTACTACTGAGCAGAGTGAGCACGAGACGTTATTCCTTTGTCATCTTACCCCGATTCTCAGAGAAAAGACTAAGAAGTTTGCCTGATGATTGACCAAATCGCTTGATGAGAGACAACCGCCTTTGCAACACTGAATAAAGTATCATCGAAACAACGCAACAAAGTACAAGCAAGGGAATGGAATATGGAGAATGTGACAGCGAATACAATTTGTCGAAACACTGCAACAAGGGCACACGCATCTTTGAATTATGTGCCCACCCCCACGGGCCGACTGCAACCATCATGGTGGGGTGTCTCTTGCCCGGGGACGCGCCTGCCTTAAGGACTGCAGGCGCCCGTGGTCCGTTCCGTATCCAGCGTGACGCGGGGCAGGCCAACGTTGACACGAACGACACCTTTGTTTCCGACGTGGGGAAAACACCACGTGCCAAGTGCTCTGTGAGTTTCCTCTTGACACTGTGTCTGGCTTCAAGCACGGTAGCTGTATTCGCCAGAAGATATCGAGCCAGGCTACTAAACCCTGACTATGTGGCCTTCACAGAAGGGAGGAAACGACCGCCCCCTCTTTCGTGACATCGTCGGCACCTGGCGGCTTGGCCGCAGGTAACCCTTTTTCCTTGAATGTCCGGCCCCCCGCCCCCGTGACCAGAGCACTGACTGGAGCACAGGACTGCGGAGCCGACTTCGTATCCCGGTTCTCGGGCACCACAATCAGAGCGCACGTGCGAAGCCCCCTCTTTGGTAAAGCGACCACTGCCACTACTTTGGCTGATGGGAAAAATGCTGCACCGCCGAAGACGAGCTCTTGGAGAGACTTTCGGCTGATAACCAGAAGTTTGCCGGATGATTGACCAAATCGCTTGATGACAGACAACCGCCTTTGCAACACTGAATACAATATTATCGAAACGATGCAACAAAGTACAAGCAAGCGAATGGAATATGGAGAATGTGACAGCGAATACAACTTGTCGAAACACTGTAACAAGGGCACAAACATCTTTGAATTATGTGCCCACCCCCACGGGCCGAGTGCACCCATTATGGTGGGGTGTCTCCTGCCCGGGGACGCGCCTGCCTTAAGGGCTGCAGGCGCCCGTGGTCCGTTCCGTCTCCAGCGTGACGCGGGGCAGGCCGGCGTTGACACGAACGACACCTTTGTTTCCGACGTGGGGAAAACACCACGTGCCAAGTGCTCTGTGAGTTTCCTCTTGACACTGTGTCTGGCTTCAAGCACGGTTTAATTGCCAGAAGATGTCGAGCCAGGCTACTAAACCCTGACTATGTGGCCTTCACGGAAGGGAGGGAACGACTAAATTAGCCTCCCCCCATCAGGAGGCCAACACGGGGCCCAAACCCTAGTAAAACCAATGATTTTGGCTTCCTCGCCGAGGCCGTTTTGGACGCTCCAACGCGTCGCGAGACCCCTTGTCCAGGTCCAGGGGAGGTGGTAGGAGAAGGGGTCAAGACTCCCTCCCCACCCGCAAGCCGTCTCGCTCAGTCCCACCCGCCCTCCCAGCACATACGTAGCACCCGAGTCTGGCCCGAGCCTCAGCATATTCAGCAGTCGTCTTTGGATGGGCAGCTACTGGGGGCCAATCCGCCGCCGCCGCCGCCGCCGCGGCGCCCGCCGCCGCCGCCGCCGCCGCCGCCGCCGCCCCCGCTGCCAATTGCCGCCGCCGCAGCCGCTGCCGCCGCAGCCGTTGCCGCCACCGCCGCCGCCACCGCCCGCACCGCCGCCGCCGCCGCCGCAGCCTCCGCCGCCGCCGCCGCCGCAGCCGCCGCAGCCGCCGCCGCCGCCGCCGCAGCAGCCGCAGCCGCCGCCGCCGCCGCCGCCGCCGCCAAGTGTACTCTGTATGGTTTTTGACAGGGATGGAAGAGAAACTTCCTAAACCACCTATGCCCAGAGGGCTGGTGGGATTCAGTAGGGTGCCAGATGTCTGACGCAACCTACGGTGCAGTCGGCGGTAGACAAGGTGGGGTGTTGACAATTCGGAACGGCGCTGAGTGCCCCGCGCAGCCTCCGGTGCAACCTGCGGTAGTCAGGCAAAGTGGGGAAGTCGTGATTCGGTCGGATGCGGTCTCGCGCAGCTTATGGCGCGATCAGCGGGAGGCGCGCAGAGTGGGAAGATCGCGATCTGGCACGACGCGGGAGTCTTACGCAACTCTTTGTGTGACCTGTGGAAGTTAGGCCGGCGCGATCTGTAGGCATCGCGATTTCTTATGGAGCATGGTGTTTGGCCAAGCTTGTGGTTCAATCTACGAAAGCTGGGCGGAGTTGGGCACTCGCGATTTGCAGAGCGCGGGGGGTCTGGTACAAGTTATGGCGTAATCGGTAGAACTCAGGCAAAACGGAAGATTTCAGGTCGGTAGAGCGTATGGTGTCTTGCAAAACCTGTGGCGCATCCGATGGTGCATCCCATAGACGTACACATGACCGATAAATTGCGATTCGGTGGTCGGGCGGAGAGCCTTGTGGCATCTTCGGCGCAGCCTATTGTGCCACCCATGCGATGCAGATTCGCCCAGGGGCAAACACGATGTTGTGGCGAGGCGGGGTGTCTGGCGCAACCTAAGACAACTGCCATGTAGTGTATCTTGGCGGGGTGGTGGTTTAATTCCTGCTGAATGGGCGGTTGGCGGCTCTCTCTCTCTCTCTCTCTCTAGACCTCATCGTATTTTACCGCGCCACGTGGTCGACAAGATATGACCGTTGATGCGTGTTGTAGAGTCGACAGGGTTCTCGCCATTCCCAAGGGGTTCTTGGGGGCCTCTGGGGGCCCCGATGGGGGCCGAGGGGGTCCACCTCGTGGGGGAGGGCTCCTGGGGTCCCTGCGAGGTCCCCCTCTGGGGCCTCTCGTGGTCCCTTCTCTCGGGGCCCTCTTGACGGCGTGTTTTTGGCTGCCCTGGAAAAACGAGGACGAGGAAGAGGAAGAGGAAGACGAGGAGGACGAGGAGGAGGAGGAGGAGGAGGAGGAGGAGGAGGGTCCTCCTTTCTCCTGTGGCCAGAAAATAAGGCTCGGCCCTGTCTGCAAGGAAGCCGGACACACGTGACGTGGCTGGCCTTGGCGAGGGCCGGATGCACACGTGGCCGCACGTCTCTGCAGCGCTTGGCCCCTCTGCGGCGGGGGGCGCTGGGTGGCAGCACGCGCACTTCCAGCGCACGGCCTCCAGACGTCCCGCGGGTGAGCAACGCAGGAAACGGCGCCGTCTTCGCCGACGTTGGCGCGTAGGTTTCGTAGGTTGATAGGCCTCCTGCCCTGACGCGTCGATTCAGGAATATCGGCCGCCTTCGGTTCGCGAGGGGGCGCCGCGGCCGCCGTTCTTGCGGGTCCAGGTCCGTCGGTTTCGGTCCTAGGCCGCTTTCACTGAGGAGGAGGTTTACGACGGACTTTTGGCGCAAGAAGCGTTCCCGCATTTTTCCGGGATTTTCTGGGGACGCTTTCGTCCCCATATGATGCATTTTCCTACCGATTACTGCGCGGCCACGGCGCATCAGACGCTCAGATGATTCACGTGCAAGCACTTAAATGAAAAACTAAGGGGGAGCTTTACTAAAGGGAGGATTGCCCACCGCCGAAAGTTGGCCGCGTCAGGTCGTGCGTCAGCGCCCTCCTTTCAAGTGTGGCGTGCCGCGCTGGCGGCCCGCGCAAGCCACCGCGGAAGGTCGCTGTGCCATCTCGCGAAAGACCCGTGTTTTGTTCTCGCTCATGCAAATCCAGCCACACGTGATTCCAGCTTCCAAGTCATCCAGCGATATTTACCAGCCTCGAACGTATCCCTATCCCTAAGATTGACACGCCAAAAGGCGACGACAGTCTTAGGGATCCGCCCTCAAAAAATAAGGGAATCCCTAAGATTGGCATCGTGATGAGGAGGTGCCCAGCATAGGGATAGGGATATGTTCCAGGCTGGTAAGATATGGTTTTTCAATGCGCGGCCCCAGAGGTCCCGGCTCCTCTCCCAGGGGTGGTCCGGGGGCCCGATGGCGGGCTCCAGATGCCGAACGCGAGGAGAGACGCCCGCACTGAAACAGCCAGCTCGACTGGCAGCACCCCCTTGCCCCCCCGAGCCCCAGACTTCTGGCGGGGCCGCTAGGGCACCGCCGTCCCAGCCCTCGCCAGTCCCCGAAGCCGCAGGCTCGTGGAGGCGTGAAAGGTTCAAGCCGCCGCATGCTGGACAAACATCATGCTCGAGCCAACAAGTCACGCTTTCCAGGCTGAGGCACCCTAGAAGCCGCGGGCGTGCCAGCTGGGTCCTCGCCCGTTCTTCAGCGTGCCGTTGCCGCAGCCGACGCCAGAGCGCCTGCGACTCCGAGGGGGCCGGGGGGGGGGGCGCCCGGGACGGGAGCCCCGAAGACAGACAGCTTCTCATAATGTGCGTGAGCTTCTGAGAAGTCCCGCTGCCTTCTGAGGAGGCCATCTCCTTCTCACCCCACCCCCTCGCTCGCCGCCGAGGGGGTGCGCACCGCAGCAGCAGTGGCGTGTGCGTCCCCCCCCGCCCTCCTCGCTCCCGGCCTCTGCGCGCGCGGGCGCTGCGCTCCAGCACCGCCCGAGGGCTCCTTCGCTGCCGCGCCGCCAGAGGCTCGTGCTCCCGCCCCGTCGCCCGGGCGAGGTGGTGCTCCGCCCGGGCAGGCAGGCGGAGCACCGCGCGGCTCTCGCGCGTGCCGCCGCGTCCTCCCCTCCCGAGCCCAGGCGTCCCTCCTCACTCCTGGCCTCTTCTGCCTTCCGCTGCTCCACCTCCGCCTCCGCCTCACCTCTGCCGTCCTCTCCTCTCCTCTCCTCGTCGTCGTCCTCCCTCTGCTCACGCGCCAGCTGGGGTCGGCCGGCCAGGACGTCCGCTTCTTCTCCGAGCACAACGTCGTGGACTGGCTGGGGAGTGATCAGACAAGGCAGAGAGATGGAGCGAGCCAAGGATGAGGAGAGGACGAGCAAATAAACCTGCAGCTTGCGCTGGCCAGGCCGAATACTGGCCTGTGGTCCCTAGCCTCATGCTGCCCCCTCCCCCCGCTGCGTCTGGGGGCGTTGGGGGTCAAACCAGCAGAGGAATGACGCCTCTAAGTTGGACGTTTTCGCGAGCCGTATAATCGTTTCAGTCCCCACATTCAGAGTAAGGTCCTTGCTTGTTTTGAGCATCCTCTTCTTCCTCCTCCTCCTCCTCCGCCTCCTCCTCTTCCTCCAACTCCGCCAACTCCTTCTCTCGCAGCTGACCTCCCGCAGAGTGTGGGGCTTCGTCGGAGATTGTGGATCGAGTTTTCCTGTGGGTGCTAGGCCTCCTCCAACTCTTCCTCCTCCATCATCATCATCATCATCATCATCATCATCATCATCATCATCATCATCACCACCACCACCACCATCATCATCATCATCATCATCATCACCACCATCATCATCATCAGTATCACCATCATCATCATCATCATCATCATCATCATCATCATCATCATCATCATCATCATCATCATCATCATCATCATCATCATCATCATCATCATCATCATCATCATCACCACCACCACCACCATCATCATCATCATCATCATCATCATCAGCATCACCACCATCATCATCATCAGTATCACCATCATCATCATCATCATCATCATCATCATCATCATCATCATCATCATCATCATCATCATCATCATCATCATCATCATCATCATCATCATCATCATCATCATCTGCTTTCCGAAGCCTCCCGACAACTTGTGGAATCGTGAGCCCCCCCGATCCTGCTTTCATTTCCGCTGCACGACTGCATGCAGTCTCGCTGCATGGGTCCCAGCGCCAGCCCCAGCTGCGCCGCGCTGCCAGTCCCGCCAGAGCCGTTCGTCCTTCCAGGGTCGGCGCGGTTCGAAGATCCCCGTACGGTGCGCTGCCCGCATGGTGTGGTGATCCAGTGGCCCCTCGGGGCTGACCGCACGGTCTTGGAACTCGGGTCGTGTCCCGAGGAGGCCCCGGGCGGCGGGAGCGGCCTCGAAGCTCTGGTGCCTCGCCATGAAGAAGAGGAGGGAAGGGAGCGGGAGCCAACCGTGCGGCACGCACCCTGCGGCGACAGACCGCGCGGCGTCGAGGGCACCGCACGGCTCGGCACCGCACCGCTTTCGGGGCCTGCAGCAGGTGGTGGCAGGGGCAGGGCGCCCGTCCTCGAGCCCTGCTCCCTCCCGCGGAGCCGGCGCCCCTCCCGCTCCGTGAGCTCCACCCCGAGAGAGGCATCGGAGGGCACCAGCCACACACCAACGCCGATCCTGGCCAGGACCACCCTGGGCCCAGGGTCGGTGCATATGCCTTCTTGCCCAGGGCAGGAGGGCGTATGCGCCGATCCTGGGCCCCTGCGCCTCCAGGGAGGCCGCGCGGGAGCGCGACGCCTGTCCTTGCATGTGTCCTCCCGCGGGGATCACACCCTTCTCGACGCACGAGCTCCGGCCCCGAAGGAGGCCGCCAGGGAGCGCGGCTCCTGCCCCCTCACGCCCTCGCTTTGCGTGGCGGTCGTACCCTTCCCGTTTCGCGAATCTCTCCCCTCTTCCTGCTGCACGAGCCCCACCCCCAGGGTGGCCGTGCGGGAGCGCCACCACCTTTCCTCGTGAGTGTTGGAGTTCTTGTTTGCTGAGGCCATCCGCCATTCCTTACTCTTCTCGTCCTTTTCTCCTCCTGCAATCGCTCCACGCGGTTCACTGGAAAACCGTATTGCGCTTGAGTACCACCGCTTCCTCCACCAGTTTGCCGACCGAAACAAATTGTGTGTTTCTGGGAGCGCGACCTTCCTCCCACCCAACCGACAAGTATTCCTCCCGCCCCTACTTGTACCCTCTTCGAGCTCCCGCTCCAATGAGTAGCACTAGTAAATCGGATGCACATGAAGTGGCTGGCTTGGGCGAGATCAGGCATCAACACCACAGTTCTAAAGAGTAATTTCCCAAACGGCCTGAGAATGTCTCTTGCGACAACGACGCCGACAACGACGACAGCAACAAGGAGGGGAAAAGGAGGGAGGAGGAGCAGGCTGAGGGGGAGGGGGAGGAAGAGGAGGAGGAGGAGGAAGAGGAGGAGGAGGAGGAGGAGGAGAAGGAGGAGGGGGAGGAGTAGGAGGAGGAGGAGGAGGAGGCGGAGGAGGAGGAGGAGGAGTAAGAGGAGGAGGAGGAGGAAGGAGGACCTGGTTTGAGGATCGAAGCTCTTTTGATGCAAGTTTTCGCCTGGGACTAGTCAGCATTCTAGAATTGCGCTGCCGCGCGACGTCGCCACCATGCTTGGGGCAGGTATCCTGCCCGAGTGGGGGGGGCATGGGCGGGGGGGCTAGCTGAGATTCCATGGAATGCCCAACATGATTCCATGGGTTGAGTTTTTTTGGGGGCCAGGCGAGAAGATGCTCGAGTCTTGTGATGTGCAATCGTGGAAGGGGAGCGGCGTACACAGGAGGAGCAGGAGGAGGAGAAGGAGGAGGAGGAGGAGGAGGAGAACGAGCAGGAGGCATAGGAGGATAAAGAAGGAGGATGACGAGGACGAACAGCAGCAGCAGGAACTGGAGTGGAAGGAGTGGGAGGAGCAGGAGGACCAAGGGATGGCGGAGAAGGGGGGGCGACAACGATGAAGTAAGATTCGGATCCAGAAAAGGGACCCGTGCTGGGTCGAGAGTGCCATGCTGAACGACGAGAGCATAACGCCGATCCGAAAATGAGGTCCACGCTGCAGCGGGAGCATCACTATGAAACGCCGAAAACCACCGGATTGCAAACGCATCGGAGAAACATTGTTTTGTAATGCGGTAAAACAATTCGCGGAAATGGTCAGAGATCTTCCGCACGGGGTCAGGGGAGATAGGAAAGTCGTATTCACAATGTGGAATCGTGAAGGTGGGGAGAGGCGCAATAGACACGATCGATCACACGCACACTTTCCGAAGGAGAGCGCGCGCATGAAGCCCGAACGCTGCGAGCAAAGTCCCGAGAAGACAAACAGGTGACCCGGCTGCCAGCAAGTCGCGATGTGCAGTGACACCGAGCAAAAACGAAAGCGAATACTGAAACGCACGTGCCAGCAGTGCGAAAGATGCGATGCAAGGTGAATGGCGTGGCTCCTGAAAAGGGATATCCGATGGGATATGCAGATCGTCGTGCAGATTCGGCAGTAGACGAATGCGGCGGCACCTGAACCAGAAAGTGAGGCAGGGAGGGTAATGTCGTACCCGAGTGCGTCAGAGCTGATGCGAAGCGCGTGAAACTGAGGAAGTGATGGAAAGCACTACGATGATTCGAACGCGACCTACGTGGCCAAAGTGCGTTGATGGCACTAAGCAGGCGTGGCCGGGAGCAAGCACCAGTCCCGAAACCAGGAATCGGAATGGACGGGCCACGGACGCGTTGAGGCGACGTGAGAAGCTGCAGAACAGTGAGTCACACAGAGCGCACTGTGCACACCAGTGCTCTTTTAATGTGGCAAGTGGCTTGTAGAACGTGCGCACACAGATGTGTTCACAAACATAACTATGGGCATCGAGGACGCCGGCGGCGCATCACCGGCCGCTCCCTGGGAGTTTTTCGAAGAGGTGCGCAGCATCGAAAGTCGTGACGCGGCGCGTATGCCAGCTATCAAATAGCCGTCGCCCCATCCCGCCACCGTGCTTGGGTTTTGGGTCGGACGGAGTCCTCATGGACGCTTCCTGGGGTCTCTCGAGAGGGCTCTCGGAGGCTTCTGCGGGGCAGTTTAGGGGCCTCTTGGGGGCGTCCCAGGGGCTTCTTGGAGGCCTCTTGGGGCCCTCTTGGGGCCTCTTGGGGCTCTCTTGGGGTTTGTTGGGGGCCACCAGGGGGCCTCTTAGGGCCTCCTGGGGGCCTCTTGAGCCGAAAGCTCGACATGTTCATTCGGGTACCCCTTCTGGGCCTCATCTTGGGGCCATCCTGGGGCCCCTCTTGGGCCGTCCCGGGGGCCTCTTGGGCGGTCTTGGGGCCCTCTTGGGCCGTCTTGGGGCCGTCTTGGGGGCCTGTTGGGCCGTCCTGGGGCGATCTGGGGGGCCTCTTGGGCCGTCGTGGAGCGTGGGTAAGCCGAAATGGCGTGAACGTGAAAATCCTTCAAAAACCATTGAAAAATCAATGATTTTTGCTTCTCGGGGCTGTCTTGGGGGTGCTCTTGGAGCCCTCTTGGGCCGTCTTGGAGGCGTCTTGGGCCGTCTGGAGGCCATCTTAGGCGTCTTGGAGCGATCTGGAACCGTCTGGAGGCTCTCTTGGACTGCTCGGGACTCTTGGACCGGCTTGGGGCGCCCTTGGGTCGTCCCCGGGCCGTTTGAGACCTTGAAGGGGGCCGGCGGCAGAGTGGGGCCGGCGGCAGAGTGGGGCCCCCTCGGAGGGACTTTCAGGAGGTTTTTGACCAGGCACTGGAGAAGGGGGCCAAAGACTGTGCCAGACACTGTGTCAGAGAGGTCTCGCACGGCCCAACCCGCCGGGCGGGAGCGGCCGGATCTCTGAAGCGCTTCGCCCTCTGCCACCGGCCCTCCCCAGGTTGCCTGCGTGGCCACGCTTGGTTGGTAGGTTGGTTGGTTTTTGATTGGTTGGCAGATTGGCAGATTGGCTTCTTTATGCGAGTTGAGAGATTGGCTTCTTTATGTGAGCTGATCGCTGGCAATCGAGTTGGGCTGTCTGCGGGCTGGCTGGTTGCGCGCGTCTGTGCTAGTTCGCGAGGGACGGTGGCCTCGGGAGCGTGCCTCTGGTGCACTTGCCGAGGGCTCGATGGTCCGGGAGCCTGCGCCCCCAGCCATCAACATTGATTCGCGGCCTCCCAACCCGCCGCCTCCTCCGCGGCCTCCCAGCCCTCCTCCTCCTCCTCCTGCTTCTCCTCCTCCTCCTCCCCTTCTCCTCCTCCTCCTCCTCCTC